TTTTTACCAAAATACTGATAGTGACATGGACAATGAAGTCCAGGCTGAGGTGGTCTTAGATGGCGATTAGGAACTTTTTGGGAACTGGAACAAAGGTGAATCTTGCATGTTTTAGCAAAGAAACTCCCAGCATTTTCCCCTGCCCTAGAAATCTGTGAAATTTTGAACTTGACAGAGATGATTCAGGGTATTTGGTGGAAATTCCTAAGCAGCAAAGCATTCCAAGAGATGAACTGGTTGATTCTGAAAGCATTCAGTTTTATGAATTCACAAAGAGATGGTTTTAAGTTGGAACTTATGTTTAAAAAGAAAGCAGAGCATACATTTGGAAAATTTATAGCCTGACTTTGGGGTGGAACAGAAAAATAGTTCATTTTCTGGGAAGGAATGCAGGCTGGCTGTAGAAATTTGCATAAGTAATGAGTAGTGGAATGTTAATCACCATGACAATGAGAAAAGTGTCTCCAGGGCATGTCATAGAGTTTTTGGCAGCCACTCCCATCACAGGCCTGGAGGCCTGAAAGGAAAGAATGGTTTCATGGGCTGGACCAAGGCCCTTGCTACTATGTGCAGCCTCGGGACTTGGTGCCCTGTGTTAGGCTGCTGCAGGTCCAGCTGTGGCTAAAAGGGGCCAAAGTGTAGCTTAGCCTTTATGAATTACCCACTCTTCAGTATTTCTTAATAGCAGTGTGAAAATGGACTAATACATACTCCCTCAAGACATTTTCCTGATTTCATCTTTCATGTTATGTGTGCCACAGCTATTTTCAAAACTTCATTTAGAGGTAAACTTTATTATATTGAGTAATAGAAACAGAAATATAGCCCAAATCTAATTATGACTTTCATGTTTAACAGTCATTGCTTGTATTTGGTGGACTCCAGCTTTTTAATGTAGCATTCAAGTGTCATGTAGCATTCACCTTCTATTCTTATCTTTCAAGTATTTTATACTTTTTTTTTCAAGTTCCTAATACACTTCTAGACTTCATGTGCTTAATTTCTGTGCTCACATCCTGTTCTCTAACTGGAATGGTTTTCTCTCACTGTTTTTATTAGTGGGCTTCTCTTATATTTTGCTTCTTTTAAAGGAAGGCGTTAGCCTGCATGCTAAAATACAACTTTTTATGTATGAAGTCTTATATAACACATTGTATCATTATTGCGTATTACCTTTTTTTGAGTCAGGGAATGCATATTTCTTTTTATGTTATTTGTACTTCATAAACATTTTTAAAATTAATCAGTGAATTGAGATGGAAAAGAGTTGGAGGTTTACAAAAATTGTGGTTTTTTTTGTTCATTGTCATTAGAGTATTATAAAACATTGGCTTTTTATAGTTTTTAAAGTAGTGGCTTTGCCTTGCATATGAAGAAAGTAAAGAAACATCCAAATAAAAAAAAGGAACTCAAAATAATCTGTGGTTACACCCATGTTTGAGAAGGTCAATTTACTAACTCATGCTCTGCTACAAGTAAATGATGACAGCAGTTTAAGTTAAATAGATGAGGATCAAAGAAGGTAAAATATGTAAGTCCTTTATAAGAATCTCCAGGAATACCCCGTCAAAAGTGGGCAAAGGATATGAACAGACACTTCTCAAAAGAAGGCATTTACATGGCCAAAAAACGTATTAAAAAACCTCATCATCACTGATCATTAAAGAAATGCAAATCAAAGCCACAATGAGATACCATCTCAGGCTAGTTAAAATAGCAATCATTAAAAAGTCAGGAAACAACAGATGCTGGCAAGACTGTGGAGAAACAGGAATGCTTTTATACTGTTGTTGGGATTGTGAATTAGTTCAACTATTGTGGAAGACAGTGTGGTAATTCCTCAAGGATCTAAAACCAGAAATACCATTTGACCCAGCAATCCCATTACTGGGTATATACCCAAAGGGTTATAAATCATTATACCATAAAGACACATGCATACCTATGTTTATTGCAGCACTATTTACAATAGCAAAGACTTGGAACCAACCCAAATGCTCATCAATGATAGACTGGGTAAAGAAAATGTGACACATATACACCATGGAATACTGTGCAGCCATAAAAAAGAATGAGTTCATGTCCTTTGCAGGGACATGGATGAAGCTGGAAACCATCATTCTTAGCAAACTAACACAGGAACAGAAAACCAAACACTGCATGTTCTAACTCATAAGTGGGAGTTGAACAATAAGAACACGTGGACACAGGGAGGGGAACGTCACATGTAGACAGCCAGAGTAGCCCACCCTCTCTGGGGGAATCAGCAGCAAGGCTGCTATAAACTTTCAGTGAACTCCAGAGAAGTGAAACCAGAGTAGGGGAATTTGTATGTCTCGGAGAAGAGCAGAGAGGCTTAGAAAAAGATAACTAGCTCTCACTGACCTTGCTGCAAAATAGTTGTTAGCTGAAGTATGTTAACTGAAGTATGAGTTATAACCACAGGCTGTTCTAAGTAACTGCACCATCCCTCTGCTATGTGCTTTGTGAACATATAAAGTACTCCGAGGCAGGTTGGGGCTGAAGAGACTGACATCATCAGCTTTTCGGACCACCTGGCCCAGCTTTATATATGTCTGTCTGTACGTCTTTCTTTATCTCCTGCTGTTCCCTCTTAGGTCTTTGAACCCTTGTGCAGTGTGGGATGCAGCACATGCCAGTCACACACAGGGGCCTGTTGGGGGTTGGAGGGCACAGGGAGGGAGAGCATTAGGACAAATATCTAATGCATTCAGCCTGCAAGACTTAAACCTAGATGACGGGTTGATAGGTGCAGCAAACCACCATGGCACATGTATACCTATGTAACAAACCTGCAGGTTCTGCACATGTGTCCCCGAAGTTAGAAAAGAAAAGAAATCTCTAGGAAGGAATGTTAACACTGATTACTTTTCCTGGAAATAGAATAATATAGTCTCCTAAAGCTAGAAATACTCAACTATATCAGTGCTGTTGAAAGACTGATGACAATAAGGATTAATGACTTTGACTAGGAGCAGTTTCAATAGATGGTACCTATGGAACTCTGTAGTGGATGAACATAGACAACTCTTGAGAGAAACTCTACTGGGAAAAACAATAGAAAAATGGCAATAATTGAAGAAGAATGTGGGAATTGAGGGAGTTTTCTCTCTTTTTGTATTTCAAAACATAAATTTTAGAGTATGTTTCTTTACTGTTAGGAATGATCTATATAAGAAGAAAATGTTTATGAAATGTAATTTTGTTTGCTTGGTTGCATGTTTAAGCATTAGACAGCTTGATTTATTATCTTTTATGGATGTTTAGCAAACTAATTGTCCTTAGAACTTCTATTCATGCATAGTTTTATGGTTAGAGTTGCTTTTTCAGAATTGCTTCAGAAATGTAACATATTGGTGTAATTGAATACGCAGATGATGACCTAAAACTTAAACTATCACACACAGATATTTAAAATAATTATAATACACATCCACATACTTAGGCCATGTTGAATAGAATTTAATTGTTCCCTCATAATTGTACATATTGCAGTACCTTTGAGAGTAGCATCATGAATAGCTATGATTTGCTGAGGTACTTACTACAAAATGTCAGGTGTGTGAACTTTTTTTCTTTTTGAGATGAAATCTCACTCTGTCACTCATGCTGGAGTGCAATGGTGTGATCTCAGCTCACTGCAACCTCTGCCTTCTGGGTTCAAGAATTTTTCCCACCTTAGCTTCCCAAGTAGCCAAGACTACCAGCAGGCACCTGACTACTTTTTTGTAGTTTAATAGAGTGGAGATTTCACCATGTTGCCCAGGCTTGTTGTGAACTCCTGAGCTCAGGCAGCCCGCCTGCTTCGGCCTCCTAAAGTGCTATTTGCAATAGCAAAGACTTGGAAGCAACCCAAATGCCTGGCCAGGTGTATGAACTTTATAGCTGTTTAGATTCTGGGGAGTAGGGAAGGATTTTGTTCATGAATTTGAGAAAAGCAAACTATTGACACTATCACAGGTTATTAATTCCGGATTATAAAGTTCTAAACTGTCAAAGCCATGTTTCCCTGTGCCAATAGTGTCATCAGCATGTATTGTATGCTCAATGAGTATTTGTTGAATGCATGAATAAACAGTTGAAGTGATGAATGAATGTCATTGATGAATTTCTGTTAAAAAATAAGTTTTTAGTTTTCTGAAATTAGTAGGTTTCCAAATTTGCCTCTGTATAGTCTTTTTTTTAACAAAATGCAAGATTCAGAAATTATTAGTTATAATTATAGCCAAAAATAGAATGATAATATGGATTCAATCTGCTATCATATCTCTTAAAAACACTTGAAAATAAATATTACTTTCACAGCATATTGGAAAACACATGTTTTGGAGGCAGAATTCTTGGATTTCAATGCTCTGTCAACTACTGACTAGCTCAATGGGCTGGGGACATTTATATGGTCTTTCTGTGCCTAGTTTCTCCTTTTATAGAGTCCCTAATATATTACCTACCTCACAGAGTTGTTATGATCACTAAAATGAGCTTGACACATACACAGTACTTAGAATGATGCGTAGTGCCTGTGTAAGTCCTGAAAAAAATATTATCATTAAAAAAGGGTTCCTCTCATGTAAGAACAAAAGTAGTTTTCCAGATAGGATTTAGTGCCAGTAAAAGCTTGTTTTTATTGAAAAGGACAACAATGAGAAGTCCTGGTGTATTTCTTTCTATCACATGATACAAGTAACATATTTTTTCTTTTGCCTTGACTGTCGGAAAGCTTGATCTAAATTTAATTCTTTGTAATGATATTATTACCATATTTTTTTCTCATTTAATGTTACTCTTTCTGTTTGTAGTTTATTTCTCCTTGTGAAAATAATTATATTTACATTACCTCTTAAAAATGACCTGAAAACTTAATGAATAGAAGGAATAACTTATAAATGCAGAGATTTTATATAATAACACTAGTTTTGGACATTCTTTTTATTTTATGTATTTGCTATTTGGCTAAAAGGAATTGTTTCTTTTTTCAGGCCTGAAGAGAAATCTAATGAAAACAACAAGGTACTGTTAAAAGCAAGTTATCTAAAATATTATTGTCAGAAAAACACATTACAAAAGGTAAAGTAAGAATCTTTTGTTATAAAGACATTTAGTTAGAAGAAAAAGGGCTTAAGGAACAGTGGCCATTGATAATGGCCTTTTAAGAAAAATCTGTTGTTATAAAAGTGCCTTGGGCTGGGTGCAGTGGCTCACACCTGTCAGCCAGCACTTTGGGAGTCTGAGGCGGGTGGGTCACAAGGTCAGGAGATTGAGAGCATCCTGGCCAACATGGTGAAAACCCTTCTTTACTAAAAATACAAGAATTAGCTGGGTGTCGTGGTGCATGTCTGTAATCCCAGCTACTCAGGAGGCTGAGGCAGGAGAATCACTTGAATCCAGGAGGCGGAGGTTGCAGTGAGCTGAGACTGCACCATTGGACTCCAGCTTGGCGACAGAGTGAGACTCTCTGTCTTAGAGAAAAAAACAAAAAGAAGTGCCTGTGGTTTTGCTCATATAAAAAGATGAATAAATACCACTTCTTTACATCTAGTATATTATATAAATATTTTGAGGACATTTGAAGCAGTATTATTTATCTTACAGGTCAAAAGCCCAATACATTCAGTGGATGATCTTGATGACATAAGTTGGCCATCGGAAGTAGCCTCAGAGGATTATGATTGGCTTTACTCTAATTATGTGACTTATATGTTGCTCAATGAAGAACTCGACATGGATTTTAATGGTATGAGTATTACATAAGTGGAAGGCCCTGTATGTATCCTACAGTAATAGTCACACACATTGCTTAGCATTGCATCGTAGAGCACTGATGTGTGATAATGTTGATCATCTCAGAAATATGTTTAATGTTAAAATAGACTGAGAAATAATGTATATTGTCTACCAAAGAGCTATGACAACTCTCTTGTACCTTTCTCAGTGTGAAGGGCAGTCTCAGCCTTTTTGTTGACTCTGCTTCTCTCCTATGCCTCCCTTTCAGATCAGGTTACCATTCTCTCCCACTTGGAATACTGCAATAACCTTAGAACTGTTTTCCCTGCTACCCTACTTCTGGAGACCATGGTCTACTCTGAAACTATAATTATTAATTTTTAAAAATTCAGATCTGATGTTGTCTCTTGCTCATAACTCAGCTTACCACATCCCATTGCTATAAGGTTAAGATTTGAATGCTCTAGCTCTCTCCTGCATCTTGTAATACCTTTTTTTCTCTGTGTCCTAGCCATTGTCTTAGATGTTTATTCCTGCAATTGATAGCTTTAGTGAGGTATAACTGGTATGTAATAGACTGCATGTATGTAAATGTACAGTTTGATAAGTTTTGGCATATGTATGCACACTTGAAAGCATCACCATAATCAAGAGCAGTAACAAACCCATCATCCATAAAAGTTTCTTCCTGTCCCTTTGTGTTCCCTTATTAAGAAACTACTAAATGTTTAAGTATTTGTACTGTTTTCCATTACTATCAGCAGTATTTGGCAATTCTCATTGTTCCATATCATTACAAGCTGTTCGTACTGCTAATTAGTTTTTAGTTTTAGCCATTCTAATGGGTACATGTTGTGTGTGTCATTATGGTGTGAATATGCATTATCCTAAGGACAAAGACTGCTGAACATCTTTGCATGTGCTTATTTGCCACCTGTATATCTTCTTTAGTGACTCATCTTTTCCAATTTGGATAGCTTATAAAGATTTAAAAATTAGATAGTTTTTATTCTTAGTTGTTGAGTTTTAAGAGGTTTTTAAAAATAGATTCTGGATATTATTTCTTTATTAATTATGCTCTTTGGAATGATTTTTCCCAGTTTGTGGCTTGACTTTTTGTTAATAATATATTGGTTTTTTCATTTTGATGAAGTCTGATACATCTGTTTGTTTAATTATGGATTTTGCTTTGTGTCTCATATCTAAAAAATCTTTGTCCAGCACAAGGCTTCAAAGGTTTTCTTCTCTGCTTTCTTGAAGAATTGTTATAGTTTTAGGTTTTTCATTTAGATCTGCAATCCACTTTGTGTACACTTTTGCATATGGAGTGAGGTGTGGATGTAAGTTCATTTTATGGATGTGGATATCTAATTGTTCCAGCAGCATATGTTGAAAAGGCTGTCCTTTCTCCATGACACTGCTATTGTGCCTTTGTGAAAAATAAGTTGGCTGTATATTTGTGGGTGTATTTCTGGACTGTGTGTGTGTTCCATTGGTCTACATATTCTTCCAGAGTTTAGCTGATAAACCAATCATAAGTTGAAAATCCACTTAATACCCCAATAAACCCATCATACATTTGAAACATTCTATGTAGAATCATCTTAAATTGGGGACTGCCTCTATCTGGCTTTTTTCATGTAGGTCTAGCATCCCTAATCCAAAATCAGAAATTCTCCAAAATCCAAAACTTTTTGTGTGCCAACATGATATCACAAGTAGAAAATTTTACACTAGACGTCAGGTACACAAATTTTTATTTGCAAATTTATTAAAAGTATTCCACAAATTTACCTGTAAGCTCTGCATATAAGGTGTATGCAATGTAAGTTATTTTGGTTTAGACTTGGGTTCCATCCTTGAGATATCTCATATATGTGCAAATATTCCAAAACCAAAAATACTTTTGATACCAGACACTTTGAGAGATACTTTCCCTGTAACAGTATCACACTGTTTTGATTACTGCAAATTTATATTAAAATTTGACATCAGCCCTTCAGTTTTCTTCTTTTTTAAGGGTTATTTTGACTATGCTGTCTTTTGTATTTCCATATGAGTTTTAGAATCAGATTGTTAATATTTTTAAAAGCCTGCTGTCCTTCTGGGAATTAGACTGAGTTTGTGTTGAATGTGTACATTAATTGGGAGAGGATTGATGTTCTAATGATAATGCATTTTTCCACTCCCATGAAATTGTTTCTATTTATATAGGTCAAATTTAATTTTCTCAGTAATATTTTGTAGTTTTTTAAATATGTGTTTTCCTTCCTTCCTTCCTTCCTTCCTTCCTTCCTTCCTTCCTTCCTTCCTTCCTT